GTGGTAGGAAGAAAATGGTATCCAGAAGTTGCCCTGGCAAAGCCAATCTCCTAACATGAACCCCATCGAAAACCATACTCGACCGGCAAGTCAAGAAACAACCAAAAACCAACTTCGAAGAGCGATCTACTCCAAGTTTTGAAGCCATAGTGGGCGAAAATCCCACAATCTAAAATTGACGAGATGATTCTTACGATGCCCCAAAGGATCAACGAACTCCACGAAGTGAAAGGAAGATCTACTAGATATCAATTAAATTATAAATATATCAATTCATGTGAATATGACTGAAAAATTTCTTTTTTTTTCTGAAAAGGTGGTGTCTATTTACTTGTGACCACGCTGTGTAGATATAAAATAAAATGATAATGTATGTGGTTTTCTCTCTGTTTATGCTTGCTGCCACCTCCTCATCATTCTGCTCTTCAAAATTATTATTTCTCAACCACGTGTTTCTATCCAAACCTATTTCAAGAGCAGGCTGAATTAAGAAAAATTTCTTTCTAACCACTGCGGTGTCCAGAGCCTCGAACCCAAGGCTCAGGTCTCTGGTTTAACACAAATTACTACCATGTTCTAAGCTAAGCTATATAGATTGCACTCATGGATTTTTTACAATCACAATACAGAATTCTCGATATTTGAAGTATCAGCTTTCTGAAATCAAAAATAGGATATCTGAGCCAAAAAGAAGTTTAAACTATAAGGAAGGCAAATTAACTCGAAAACGCATATTGAACGATAACTATGTCATCCCATCATTTTTTGTGAATGTTAGGATGAAATGGTTATCTTCCAATACGTGTTTTCGAGTTAATTTGCCTTGCTTCTACAACGCCAGAAACCGGGTTTCGATATCCCATTGTGCAGATTTGCGCTTAACTACGAACAAACACAAACATTTTAACATGCACTAATCGCAACTAATTGCTTCTGCCCTCTATAAAGAAAAATTGTAGTTTGTTGTTAAATTTAAAATGGAGTCGGGAGGGCTGGTGAGTTGTCACTAAGATATT